TAAAATTGCAGCGTTAAAANAAAAAAAAAATTTACATGTATCTCGTATCCACTGTTATGATTTTTTTTTTGTCATCTGGTTAATTTTATTAATTTCGCAAGTAAAACACATAAACAAATATGATCTAACTAAGCTAATTACAAATTTTTTAGGTTCTAACTTTTCAGTTGGTTATTATAAGTTTATAAAGACCAATAAGAACAAACTATGCATTATTGTTAAAATGTCTCATATAGTGAAGATGAATCTAAAGTTCATGATATACTGATCAATTGGTTTAGAGTTGGAAACTCATGATTTCAAAAGTTATTGTGATAGACGAGTTCTATACGTTACAAATGGACTTTTTTGTAGTAGCATTTCCGATTAATGTGCTAGTCCACCACATCTGGATTAAATTGTGACATTAGAAGTACATTAAATCTAAAATAATATATAACATTTCGGGGTGAAATTTACTTATCATCAGTTAGTTTGAAGTTAGAATTCCATGATTTTTAACATTTTTTTCGAGAGAGATTCACCGCTTAACTTCTCGAATAGTTTCAAAGTTAAGATATTATTTTAGTTAGATATCTAGTTGAATTTAGTAAATTTCCATATTCAATTGTGATATATTTTGGATAAATGATTGATAAATTTAAACTTTGAAGCTATCCTAATTCACACACCAAATAAATAAAAATATTAAAGAAAAATAATAAAAACTCAATTCATAGATCCAAAAATTCACATATAAATGTGTAAAATAAGATCCATACAATTGGTTAGTAATTAATCTAGTAAAGAATTAATAAACACTAGTATAATTATTTATTATTGTCAGTTTTATGTAATTTAGCAGAATTGCTCCTTTCTTCAACATATTTCTTAATTATTTTTCATGTAGAAGGTAGACTTTTAATGCATGTGCTGGTGAACAAACTTACACATTTTTAGGGTTTACAATTATAACTACATCATTGTTTTGTTTACATTACGTATAATCAGTGATGATAAGATAAATTACTTACTTCGTATAATCATAGAGTGGGTTCTTGTCAATCCATGTCGGACGAATAAATAAGTAGAATTATGTTGTTGGGATCTCATTATTTATGTCTTATTATAAAAAGCGAGACCGTTGAATTTGAATTTGTTCTTGTTGCACGAGTGATCGATTCTTTTTCTCCCCAAAGACAAATAATATATTCCTAAAATTTTCAACTTCAAGTTCAATTTAAAGGAGTGGAGAATTGACTAATAATTCCTCAAAATTTTCATTTGTTTTTTTTGAGAAAATTTTTAGTTTGTTAAATTATATATATAATTCTAAATTTTTCATTTGTTTGTTAAATTATATGTTAGAATTGAAATACAATTTCCATATACTTTAGTAAAATATTTTTTTTGTAAAATTACATATTTGCAAGAAAACGTTTTATCACGAGTGAAAATTCTATTAACGGAGATTTGTTCGATTCCCAGTTTCTTGAGTAAATCATTTTCAAAACAATTCCTAGAAAAAGATAAAATTTTGATGGTTTGGGGTAAGCCATGATTATAGTCGAAAACTATTTCAGGTAGTTTATGTTTAAGATGAATTTTTCTATATTTCTGTTGTAAATTTGATATTTAAGATCTAAATAGCTAGAGAAATTAACCTCTATATTAGTCTTTTAATCTATAATATATTCATCACATAACATGATCTAAACATAATATAGTATCTATCATTTAGTACATATAAATTTTCACTTTTACCGTTATATAATTGTAGAGTTTTTTTCACTTAAAAAAAAAATTAAAAACAAAATCACGTTTACCCTAATCTCAAAATCACGTTTCACGCCGTCTTCTTCATTCTCTTCCTTTCTCCCAATCCTTTCATGA